TGCTGTTTCGTTGAATAGCCGGGCTGTACAGAATGCTTTTTTGTGATTTAAGTCATGAATTAAAGATTGTAATACCTCGTCTATTTTTTAAAGGGCAATTATGCTTATATGACTAAGGATATGCTGCTAGAAAAACTTGCTCTGAACACAGGCAAGGCCCTTGTGAAGTAGGTTTTATCTCCTTGGACCTGTGTAGCCTCCTTCCCCACTCCTCATCAGTGGTAATTACAGCACCCTGGTGGGAATGCTCCTCTGTAAAGCACTATGCCAAAGGCGCAGGATTTAGGTTACAGTTGGTGTGATTGTGAGTAGTTGGACTGCCCTTTCCTTGCGTCTCCCTGGCACACTGCAAGGTAGAGGCGAATAGTTCAGCCTTTTGCTGTGTTTGAAGAGAAGGCTGGAGCCAGTTTACTATTACTAATGGGGCAAAAGCAAAAGGGGCAAATGACTTGAGTTTAAAATTTAATTTTTTAAAAGGCATGGGTGATTTTAAAAGTACCCAAATGCATTATGTCTTTATGTAGCGGGAGATTCCTTCCACTTTATTGCTCACAGCACACCAGTCTAGGCAGCAGGCTGGTGGGAGAAGGAGCCAATAGCTTACCATTGCTATGGGCAACACTGGTACCACTAAACTGGTACCTCATCATTGGTGGACTCTCTTAGCCCTAAAGGGCAGAAGACATCACAAATTTTGGGGTAGATTCTGCAAGGTGTGTGATGCTAGAATGCTGAAAACCTTTTAAGTATGTTGGGAATGGGATACCACTTTTAGACTGGGGCTTAAGTGTAGGTATTAGTGTCAGGATAGGATTGAAGAGTTTTAACTGGTGGTGCATGGCTAAGATGAGATCTGACAAGTAATGCTGGAGTATCTCCTTTTTGCCTACTGAAGTCTTTTTTTTTTTTGGTATCCATCTGGTTGTTCAGTTACATTTGTCTGCTGTATGCAGTTTTGCATGGACCAAATACAGAGTTTATTTTTTTGGTAGCCTGGGGACAATTTCCAGCAGAGGTACAACAGAGGAACAGCGTATCAGAGCCAAACAGGCCACTTCATCCCTTTGAAGAACAAAGCCATCTCCCTGAAGGTCAGGAACTGAAGACAAGGGCAAGAACTCCTTTAGTTTCAATGTGTTCTTTGAAAACCCATAAAGGAGCAGAGTGACACAGTAATGCATTGATACATATGAGCTTGGAACACCAATCATGCGATTAACATGAGAATAGCAGGCATTTTTTCCACAACTTGTTTATCGAAGAACAAAGAATGTTGTAGGTACAAGGAGTCTCACGCATACCTTTCTCATGTATGTATACCTTTGCACATGTAACTTGACTAAGAGACAACCACTTTATTCCATAAATATTATAGCCTAAGTGAGCCTTCTTTGAGCTCTCCCTGCTAGGCAGCATGGCTGCATGGTGGTGATCTCCCCTTGAGCTGGGATGCCTCTCAAGGTTGCTCCTCAAGGCAGAGAGACCTTTTACCAACCACAGATATTTGGTAAGTGACCAGTATCACACATAACCTTGTAGTATGGTAACTTTGATTTATGTCCGGATAGTTCTGAATCATTGTTCAAACGATTGTGACATACAGTAATAGAATGAACCTTGCCATCAAACTTTGTTAGGTTGCACTTTTACAACATCAAATTAAAACCACTTTTGTTAACACCTGTAGTTGAGCTAAATCACCCATTCATGACAGATTGGTGTAGTTGGCAGACTCCTAAATCAAGATTCACAACAACTGCCCAGCAAAGCAACTTTGGCTCCTTGGTGAAGCAAAGCAGTGCCAAGGTAGCACTAGATGCCAGGAGCTAGCAAACGTTAGGTATTGTCCCGTGACAATTTCTGGTTTGAAACCTGAGTGGACTGGGGAGAAGGACTGGGCAGAGTACACAGCAAGTACATCTTTGGCAGTCAGATGACAATCCCAAAGAGAAACACCAACTTCAGATAAAATTCACACTGTTGTACCTAGCCTGTGGTCTTGAATGCTGCCTGAATGCTTATGCTGTAACAAGGAAATATATGACAGTTTATTGTAGGATGTTGCCACCTATCATCCACATATCCTCAACCGCTGCTGGTCTAACAGTAGTGGCTGCTTTCCATAGAATGAAGTTCTTTCCTTTATTAGTATGGGAGAGCTGGAATAAACAGTCTATAACAGACACTACACCACCTCTCCTCACACCTCCCCCCCATAAGATCTGCAAGCAATTAAGAAAGAAACGTGCTGCACTGCAGCTTTGACACACACTCTCAAGACTAGCAGCAGGACTGAAGCACCTCATGGATAACTACAACTGCACATGGAGGCTGTATACCTTGTCAAGAATGCTGAAAGGCCATCCACAAAGCTCTAAGCTGTAATGGCAGATATGAGAAGGGAATAGTTCAACAGTGTTTATTCTGAGCAAGAAGAGAAACAATCCACCTGTGGATCACACTCCCAGAATGCCAGTCCAATGCACTACAAGCCATTACAGGTAAAAGAGATCTTCACTCAGATCCCTATTACAGATACTGAAAAACCAACAAATCACTCACATTTGCAGAACTCTGACACTGTGTTGCTGAGGGTCTCATGCTGTAAATCTCAAAGATCTTCTCAATAGGAATGCTGTTCTGTGAAGACAGGTAAAGAGAGAGGTTCAGCTTTCAGAAATAGTAGTCTTTAAAGTGAATGTATAAAATCCAGCCCATATCCCCTTCGATATCTGAAACAGCTTTCACATGAACTCCTAGTATTGTTTCGTGCTGCTAACAATGCATAAACTTTACATGGTTTTGGTCTGTCCTCCCTTTGTTTGACCAGCCTTGATTTTTCTTTACATTGGCTGTTTGACAGCGAATGGTCTGATTCTGCAGTTAGGCTGGAAGGTGTCTTTTTGCCTTACCAGGGAGCTGCCTTTGTGAATGATGTGATCACCTCTGCTTTCATTAGTTTGAGTTTGGGAATGGTCCCCCCTAGCAGCATAGATGCTCATGGCCATTCTCATTAATTCTATGCCAAAAGGAGGACCAAGCACTTCCCCCTCTTTTATTCCCGCTGCAGGGCTTCTAATCAAGTTGGATTGATTTTTGAGGGCATACGCTTGGCAGGCTTTATGGCAACCCTGATTCTCCAGTAGAGCTGCTGCTTGTTTGCTCTGCTTTGAGAAATACGGATCTATGCCAGCCCCTCCTCCAGTTACACCTACCCAGGGCTTATCTGCTGGTATGGCCAGGTGAGCGTGAAAAGTGACCTTCACAAAGTGAACACCGACATTCCAGGGCTGTCCCGAAGTCCAGCTAACCCAACACCTCTTCTATTACATGACAACTGTGACATCCTGATGAAGAAAGGGACTTTCCGGAAATGAGGCTGGTCCCTAACCCTGAGGTGAACTGACCCCTGATACTTTCCCAAAAGCAAGAAATGCCTCTGTACCATTGCAAGGCAGGGAGAGGGGCAGCACTGTGTTTGTGCTCTTCCTGGGGAAAAAAACATAGAAGCCACTAGTGGATGCCTGAGGAAGAGCTGCACCAGTAGGCATCAAACCTTCTCAGTGTATTTCCCCATTCTCCACTAATCTGCAGCTCAGGACCTTCATGAGCAAAAGTGTTGTTTTAGAAGTTAAGAGCCTTTGCTTGTTTTTTACTTCTACACACTTGTCCAATCACTTTTTGAAACCTGCATAATTGACATTGCAATATCACCACTGTTTAAATAGGGCTGCGTGGGAAAAGGTCTCTGGTTTTAAGCTGTCCACTGTTAATTTGCTAACCAGTGTGCTTAATAAACTTAGTAAAGTAACTTAGTAAACTTAGTAAGAGCAAGTTTGGGCCTCTCAAACTCCTGAATTTGTCACGCACTGATAACATATCAGAGGACATATAGGTCTTTTCCTCACACCACAGTACATTTAATGCCAGCTACAAGTTCCCCAGAGCAAGAAATAAAGCATCAACGAGGTCTGTGTGTCTCTCTACATTGTTACCCACTGCAGGTCTGATTTTCAGGGCTGGTATGGAGGCTATTTTGTCAATATGCTACTTAATTAAATTGGAAGGAATAAATTTATTTAATAATTCATGATTTAATGCTCACCAGATAACGTATTAACAAATACCATGTAAAACAGAAACAGGAGTAGGATTCAGGACTCTTGCAAAGGGCTACCATTCACAAGCGAGGCAGCTGGTAGTATTTTTGCCAGCCTTGTTTGTGTAACAAAACCCCTCCACACCTCCACTGTTAAGTTGAGGTTCTGCAAACTATTTGACTGCTTTTTCCTTACATGTCACTCCTTGAAATTTTTAAGACCATCACACCCGGCCATGCAATGTCAACTTCTTGAGGACAAATTCAAAGGCGTCCGGAAAGCAATGCATTAATTTGGGAGTGTAAATTACTAAAGAAAAATATTCCTTCTAATAGACTGTAAAATGTCACCTTTTCGCAAGTGAAAGCTGGAAGTCAGGTGCTTAATTCTGCGGACAAACTCTTAACTTTTGAGTGAGGTTTGTCCCTTAGAACAACCCTCGGCTTTGCTGAGGCGTTTCAGGAGCGTTTTACCCCTACGTGCCCGGGGCCAGACGGCGGCCGCACCGCCGGGGGCCCGCGCTGGCGCCTCACGAACACGGCCTTAAAATTAGGCGCTTCCAGCCCGGGCGGGGGCGGCGGAGCCGCGGGGTCGAGAAGGGGGCATTTCGGGGCCCTCTTTCCCGGTCAGGCCGGAGAGCTCCACCTCAGCGGCGGCTCTGCCCAAAATGGCGGCGCAGCCTGACGCGGTGCTGCGGGCCGCCCGCACCCAGAGGGACGGGAGAAGTAACGTCCCCGCTCCACGACAACAGCCGGCGAGGGTGGTGATTTTATCCGCCCTTCGCCTTGCCCCTGCTTTCCCCGGCGGAGCAGCGGGCGAAAAGGAAGAGCCCCTCCCCTCACCGCCGTCCCGCGGGGAGGAGCGAGGGGCGGGCTGTCTGCCGTTCCGGCTACATTCAAAAATCTTCCGGCAAGTAGGGCACCGTTTCTCGCTTACCCTCCTTCCCCGGCCGCGGCGAGGGCCCACCGTCCCGCGGGGCTCGCCGCCCCGCATGTAGGCGAGGCCTAGGAGGCCCGCCTGCCCCGCTTCCCGCGGGAGCTGAGGGGCCCTGGCGTGAGGGAGGCCGTAGAGGGGCTGTACAGGCCCAAGGCGGCCTCCGTGGGGGTGAGCGGGGCGGGGGGCGAGGCCGCGGGTACGGTTCTCGGGGAGAGCGTAAGCCTCGACCGGCGGGTGGTCGCTGAAGGGCAGAAGGCGGGTGCTGACCCTGCTCGGTGTTGGCTCCCTCCAGCTATGGCTTCTCGGGAGGGTTTGGAAACCTCCTCCTTCAGCCTGAGCGATGTAAGAGAGCGGATGCGGGAGAAGAAGAATGGTGCCCTGCGGACTGCAAAGCTGAATGCCTCGCTTGCATCGAAAATCAAAATGAAAATTATTAGTGAGTGTATATTGTACTTTATAGCACTTGCAGAGGCTGGCAGCTCCATTGGCATATCGCTGCCTTTGGCTGCGGCTGGTGGTGGGTGGCTGTCTCTAACCCAGAGCTTATATTTAACAGCTGCTTCTCTGTGGGTTTCTAGAGAATTCAGTACCCGGCAAGTGAGTGCCAACTACCACTTGAGGTGACCAAAGGTGTTTTGGGGTATCTGACTGGCGGGTTTAACATAGAACCTTTGGAGCAGCAGCTGAGGGCATCACAGGTGGCATTAGATGGCTGTGTCTGGGTAACTGAGTCCTCAGCATCCAAACAACAAAAATAAGAGGTGTGGGAGTTATTCCAGCGTATATGCAATCCCATGCAGAAGGTAGCCCATCTGTGATTTGTTCTTACAGGGGAAATAATGCAACAATAGTGCATGAGATAATTTGGACTACCTTGAAAAAGCTAGATATTTCTGTTACTTTTATTTATTAGTTTTGAAATGGGGAAACATGGATCTAAATGTGCTCAAGGGCTACTACAAAGGACGGTAGGTTTTTCTCCCTCCTTTTGGATGGAGATGAGGACTCAGAGCTATAGGTGACTTGTTCAAAGTCAGAAACGTATCTCCTAAGCTCAGCATCTGAACATGCCATTGTTCATTAAGAAGTGAAGCAGTAGCTTGCTGACTGAGCATGACCCACTGAAGATTGAGAGGGAAGTGTTGCAGGAACATTTTTCCTGCTGTTCTCTGGGGACTTCTATTGCTGGAAGGAATTGTACTGCTGACTTTGTGTAGAGGTTATTGAGTTGTAGAGATCTGGTCCCAGGGGAGGCTATTCTGGGAAGAAGCATGGATGAGACCTTGGATGCTGATTCTGTTCGGTACTTCTCTATCACTTACAGACAACTCCTCCACTATTAAAGTATCCCTAAAACATAACAATAAAGCACTGGCCCTGGCCCTCAATGCGGAGAAGGCCAAGGTACACCAGCTCATTCAGGAGAAGATCGTCTTACAGAAGGAGGTGGAGCAGTGCCACTTCGAGAATGCTGTCCTGCGGCACAAACTCTCCTTCCAGGTATGGCACTAACAGTGTTGCTGGCATGGGGAGAGGTGGTGGGTGAGGTAAACAGCATCAGCATCCCAACCTTGGGACGAGTGAGCTGTCACTGATTTTCCATACTCTCTGCATATGAAAAATGTTGCTGTTCATTTATGTTCACCCCAGAGCATGCCTTGCTCTGGCTACCAGCATCCTTTTTGGAATAGATGTTTTGACTTAATGTCTTTGTGATTTCTCTCTGTTTATTACCTCAACATAGGATAATATCTTGAAAGAGTTTGAAAACCTTATGGCTGCAGTTAAGGTGGCCCAACTCTCTGAGGTAAACCATGGGAAATGTGAGCACATCCTTCTGGGAAGGGAGCTGTGTTTATCTTTGTTTTTTGCTTTGTGTTGCCTGCTCACTTTGGTATTTGATGCTTTGACTGTTCTAGTTTGCTTGCTTGAATTGTGCTGGCTGTATGCTTTTCAGGGTAGCTTCTTCTGTAGGAAAGGCTACCATTTTAAACTGCCTTCCTCTGGGTTGTTGGCTGTATTGGCCAGTAGCCTCTTCTGCTAAGTGACTTCTTTTTAATTTCTTTTTTTAAAGTGTTGCTATGGCATATTGGAATAGGGAATAGGACACTTTGTGTATGTCCTGTCTCATGGGTGAGTGGGAGGGAAGATATTCCTGCTTCCTAGTGTCAGATATCTGAACTAGTTTAACTTCATCCTTAAGACTGCAGAGACAGAATCTGACTGTGCTGCAGTTTATTCAATAATTGGTGCAATTTTAAATGGGAGAAGGTCACCGGCAGGATTTGACATGCTTTCCAGGGTGAAACTGAGCTGCTGCTGTTTCTGTGCAGGAGGCTGCATAGCATACTGTGAGAACTTTAAACCACCCTTCTATTTCTCTATTTTTCACATCCTTGTCCAATGGCCAGAAGAGCAGCACGAGTGACGATAGCTGGGCCTATGATGTTGCAGATGGTCAGCTTATGAGGTGGGCTTTAAAATGTTAGATATCACCAAGCTTGTCCTGAATTTCTATGTGCTGAACTTCCCCTTGTGTTTTATGTGTGTGCCCAGTTGTCTGTTTTACATTAGATGTTTTCTCTAAACCACCATTGCTTGATGTTTTCCTTTACTCTGTGTATTTCTCCTGCCACTCCTTGTCTTATTTGTCCTAATGCTAAGTCTATATATAAACGGGTTCTTCTCCCTCCTTTGTTTGAAAGCACATTGCTTTTTGGTAGCTTTTTCTTTGTAGCTGGTGAGCACTGAAAGATTTCCTTGAGCGAGTGAGCTAGCTGCTTTGACATTTTGATGCTTAATAGACATCTGCTTTTGTGATGTAAACTTGTGTATGGATAACACAGAGCAGGATCTCTTAAACTATATTTGAAGCTCTTTTTCTTCTCTGTCTAGTCTTCCCTTTGAACAGAGGGGAACCCTTAGAGCTGCTCACACACATACCAAAGCAGCGGCTTGGAGGTGTTCTACAGCAAGGTGAACCTGTGGTCACAACCTGTGCGCTGAAAGGCCCTACTTCCTTGTTATGTATTTTTCTCCTGCTTCTGTGTCTACAGTGGTGTGCTTTCCTTATGAGTTGTGCTTGCACAGAAATTGGGAATCTGTCCTGGCTGGGCAGTGTTTGTTCTTCAGCACTTGAACCCTTCAGAAATGTATTTCAGCAACTTTTGATGGAGATGAAAGCTGTAGCTACTCTGCTGAATTCTGGGGCCTGTCACAGGTATGAAATGTGCTCTGTTATTGTTATTGCTTCTCACTAGGGCTGCAGGGATGCCAATGAGGGTGCCCGTTTCCAAGGTGTGTGATGCAGAACAGCAAGGTAGCAGCTCCACAGCAGTAACATTGTCCACACTAGATCTTCAGAGACCTGCTTCTAATGAGCCACTGGAAACTGTGCCCATTGCCTCCAAAGACACTTTGCCACCACAGCCAGCTGAGAAGCCTCAGTCCCACCAGGAAGAGAATGGGAAGAAGCTGACTGAAGCAATGGAAGCACAAGAGGCTTTTCTTGACCCTGGCATCTTTGGAGGTAAAGTTGCATCTTCTGCCATTCTTCTGGTATGACTTTGCCTGTCTGTGTTCAGAAATGAGTGCGGTGCCAGTTACCTCCTAACCATCACTCCAGCAGCTCCTAATTACTGTTAGGAACTGCGTGTTTCAGTGACGCTGATATTGCCAGAATTACTTATATCCTAGAATGAGATGTCTTGGTTGGGATATCGGGAATGTTTGCAATAGCTCAAGGTCACTTTCTGTGTAATAGGCACTGAGCTTAAATAAGATTTTCAGAAATGTCTTAAGGTGCAGAATCTGACTAAGTGCACATCTCCTAGTCCTTGTGGATTTGCCATATAAATACTAACTCATACAGATGCATTTCTAAGTATGGTTAAGAGATCTTGCTGTGGGCTGCCTTTCTGTTCTGAGGGGAGCCAGCTGAGTGTTTGCATTACGCAGTGAGATTGGGGAGCCCCTGTAGAGACAAAATCATGCTTTTTGTATGTTCTGGATTTCTGGCAGTGTGTGGGCCATGGTTTTAGTGGTATTGGGAACACTGGTGTTTGCCTGTTGCATTTCTAAGTCTTAGGAATGAATTTTGTCTTTCCAACAGAGGACTTGTGCACCACCCAGCAAAATCCCAACAGTTTGCCAGTGCTTGCCTGGGAAAGTCATTCCCTTTCATATGAGGGCAATGAGGTGACAAAAGATTTCTTTGATCGTCTCTCACAAGGGCATGTTACTCAGAGGAGAAAGCGTTCCATGCTGTTCGCAACAAGCACTCCATCTTCTGGTGTGGATACCTTCCCATGTGTCAGTTCCACTCAGACAAACGACAGCAGCAGCTCCAGCAAGAGCAACACACAGCCACAGTTGAAATCTCCTAGCTCTCTGGTTTCATCTACTCAAACCACTGTTATCCCTGATAGAAAATCTTTGGGTAAAGAGATTTTATGTGATCAGCCACAGGCTAAAGAAACTGGGTGTGGTGTTGAAACTGACCCCAGTAGCCAAGTCCCTGCGTTTGTTCCTGTAAAGGTTAAAAGCAAAGGTAGTTGTAAAACTGGTGAAAAAACAACTGTTAAAAAAGCAAGCACAAGAAAGAAGAAAAAAAATACAATTAATGCAGAAAGTAGTCCTGATCTACCTCAAAGTGAAGAGAGAGCTCAAAGTGCAAAGAAGCTTCTTAAGCCAAAAGTTGCAACATGTGCTAGTGAGCCTGAAGTTTCTGAGAAGAGGCAGAAAGCTTGTAAGGGGGCTTTCAACAAGAAGAACAGAGGCTGTGATGTGGAACAGCATTCCCACTCTCCTGATGAAGTCCAAGATCTCGGAAGAGCATATGTGATGAATCCAGCACAGCTGCACAATCTTGGAAGTGGTGACTTACTGCAACAGGTTAAGAAGGAAGATATCTTTGAGATCCAAAGCAACAGCTTGTCAAAAAGCCCAGTTCATGCCTTCTCAAGTAATGAAATTCCCTCAGGTGATTCCAGTCTACGAAATTCACTTTTGAGGAAAGAGACCTCAAGTGCTTGTGCTTTGCAAGAGGACTTGGGTGTGAACACACAGAGCATCAGACAGAAAACCAGCAGAAAAACTAGAGTAATTAGGCAAATAGATGACTCTGAGGAGAATCTGCCAATCAGTGTGAAAACACCAGAGGCCAAAGCTGAAGAACAGCCGAAAAGAAGCCGGACAAGCAGGAAGACGACTGTCAGGAAAAGCAGTTGCAGTGATCAGAGAAAGGAAGTTAATTTTTTTGGGCCATGTATAGGTAGTCAAGAAGTAGCTAAGGAGAATACAAAGGATTCACCGAGTAATCTTAAATGTAGCAGGAGAACTTACATTGTCCGTCTTTTGGATCTTGCGGGAAACATGGAACATGTCCAGACAGATCTTGAAGGTGTTGAAATTGTATCTTCCAGACCTGTTTCTGGGAGCAAACCTAGCAAAATCCCCAGGGTTCAGAGGATAGTAGCTGCTCAGAGCAGTAAAAAACAGACAGGAGACCTTCAAGAAAAGGAGCAAGCTAAAGTTGGCAACAACAAGAGTGCTTCAAATAAAGAGGCTTATCCCAAACCAAAGTGTCAGAGGAAGAGGAACACCTCTAGTTCTCCAGAGACCAATTCCCTGGCCAGACAAAGTGGTGGTGCCAAGGCACACTATGGAGGCTCGGCAGAACTTGCAAACTGTCCTGTCCTGTCATTTGAGTTCTCCGGCATTACGGATCTGCTCCCTCAGCCACCTGCCTTCCTGGAGGAGCAGACAGCTGACATATCACTTAGCAAAAATCTTATCGACACTTCATACAGTCTTGAATTCTCCTCTGCGACTTGTTCTGCAGCTTTGCCTGTCAGCTCCAGGCTTACAGATGTACCAGTTTCCAGTAGCTTAAGTACAGAGGGTAACAGAGTGCTGGAGAAATCCTCTGTTTGGCTGGAAAGCTCCCTGATATCGAAAGAAAAGACTGCAGAGGAAACATCTGGGGAAAGAAACCAGGTTGAGTCAAGTTCTTGGAGCTCATCTTCACAGGAACCTGGTAGGTGATAGGCTGGGGGAGGGAACCTGAGTTTGGAGATGAGTGCTGAAATCTATGCAGCAAATGCTTATGTTTTGATTCCCCTCCTTTTTTTTTTTTTTTTTTTTTTTTTTTTTTAAATTTTAAAGATCAGTGTCCAATATACCATTTATGCTTCTGCTTGTGCTGGCTAGTCATTTCTGTGGCTGCATTTGCTTCTAGTTTAGCAGCATTCCTGTAAGAATTTCTGGTCACTTGTTCATGTGTGGATATTGGGAAGAGACTAGGAGCTTGTGCTGCAAGTCCCACTTTATCACTCTTGTGGTGCCTGTCAATTTAGAAAAGCAATTACTCAAGCAGTTGAAAAGTACAGTTTTCTGACCCTGCCTACCAGAGTCAGCAAAATTGGGACATAGAATATGATGAAGATGGCAAGTTTTTTAGTCTGGAATGGTTAGTGCTGCAAGGATTCAGACTATACCTCTAGGTGATATCTTCAGTGAAATTCATCAGGAGCTACCTAAATTCTCTTGGTTCTGTGTTTTTTGGTTTGTTTTTTAAAAGGATTTGGAGGGTGTATCCCTTGGCTGATAATATAGGTAAGATGAGCCTTTTTGGGAGCTTGCTGTTATTGGATACTTGTAAAGAGAGCTGTTTTGTGGGGTTTTTTCCTTTCTATAGCTGTTTACTACCAGGCCTGTTATAGAGTGGACTGTACTTCGTAGTAGCTCCTCCAGGCTGTAAGATCCTGGACATTAGAACTATCAACTATAATTTTTAAATAATTTTCCTATTACATCAGGGTCCAATGGTACTAGCAGTATTAGTGACCTGTGTCTTTTTCAGTGAGGAACCTAATTTGATTCTGAGCTGACTTGTGAGGAGCAGGTCTGGGATTTTTGGATAAAAATGGTCTCCTGGGTTTAGAGGAAACATGATTGGATTCACGATTGTGCAGTGCTCAGAGAAACCTGGTTCAGAATGTAACCCTTCTCTATTAGGCAGCTGTATTTCTTAGGATATCTGGAAATAATTTGGAAACGCTTTGATCAACTTGTGTGAATGTCTCCTTTTGCAGAGATCAGGCCACTACAGGACTCAACCAATGTGAGGACTGTGTCTTCCTCCAGCTTGGAAGAAGTGTCAAAGTGCTTGTCCAGGCGGAGACAGCAGCCAGTCTGCTATACAGAGCCAAAACTCAACAGGTTGGGCTTTTAAACCATTCCTTCCCATGCTGCAACCCCTGCTCTGCTCACTCTTGAGGGCTGGACCCTCTGTGACTTTGTTTGTCTTCAAATTCCTCATTATGTGTTTCTGTGACCCCTCCTCTTCTACCACAGCGTGGTGAATTCAGCATTAGCACGGATGCATGTGCAGGTTTCTGGTAACAAGCTACCAAAGATGTTATTTCCCTCAGTGAAATTAGCACACCTCTTAGCAGATTGCATCTGTGGTACTCCAGTGCTAATCAGGGATTAGCCTAGAGGATAAAATACAGGTTAAATTAAGACAGCTAAGTGAAAGCCCTAATTTCACTTACTGCTGTTCTGTTATATCTAAAGTTTTGTAGAACAACGGAGTAATACTTCCATTTTAATTGGATTTCAGTGAAGAAAATGCTAGTCTTGAGGAGGGTTCTCCCCTGTAAGCAGGCTGTATCTGTATTCACTTCTTATGGCAGATACAAGCAGCTAAACAAGTAGTTGCAGCGTTTTCCTGAGAAACTGTAGATTCAGTATATCCAATGGCTACTGTACAGAACTATTTAACTCCTAAAGTGATGACTTAGTATTATGCAAGAGTGTAACAATGTTTTTTCCCTGAAAAGTGTCACAGTTCAAACTTTCTGTGAAGAGTTGGTTATACTGGGTCAGAAGGTACTCTGTACTGGTACAGCTGTTTCTGTACAGGACAAGGAATAAACTGTACCACTCAGTCATCTTATAGTGGAATCATTTCAGTAAAATCAGAAATTTTAGAGACTGAAATCTTACATGTATTCAAGAAATACTTTGATGGTTCAACCTAACCCTTTTGGTTCTGCAGCAAACTGAGGCGGGGCGACCCATTTACAGACATGCAGTTCTTCCACTCTTCCTGTAAAAAGAAAACTGCCAAAGCCAAAGAAATGACTAAGAGGATCAAAAAAGAAAAAGAATGGTTTCCTGAAGGTTGTCCCAGTGCCAAGACAGACAAGCTAATAACAACGGGAAAAGACATGGAGCCAGAAGTGACTTGCTGATTGAAGAGGCAGTCCCCAAGTTCCTAGGGGCCTGTGCATCTTTGCTAGAATATCTCTTATGTTTTGCATAGCTTATTTTTTCTTTTAATTGTGAAGTATAAATAAAGTCTTCTACGTGGACGGTATAAATGCTTTGTGACATTTGTTCCCCTCCCTGCCCCCCTGCCTTTAAATGCCAGGTGGCTTGCCTGCAAAGTCTTTGTGCTCGCAGCCAGCCAACTGTCTCTGCCAGCTCTCTCCTGGCCCAGCACGAGCCTGGGGGGAAAAGGCCTTGGAGGGCTGATCTGGCACTGCAGGTCCCCACAGGGCTGCTGAAAGGGCACGAAAGGGTTGCAGCAGCCCAGGCTTTGACAGCAAGCAGAAAAAAATGCTAACATACTGCCTAGCATTAACTCCTGTAAAAGTTGGCTTCTGTACAGGTAGGGCATCCATGGGGAAGTCACCTTTAGGGTTGACTACTTGAAGCCTCAGACAGTCTGTGAAGTCAGAAGGGAGCCTTGTCAGATCACAGATCCAGTGTGAGGGGATATATCAGTTGAAAACAGCCTTCCACCAGCCCTGAGCATGCAATACTTAGGACACAGATGCACATGTGTAACTACATCAGTATCAGCACTATACTTTGAAGATGACTTTTGCTTGAGTCTGGTGATGGGACAGTTGTTGCAAAGTTGGTGGTGGGAGCTACAAGGGCACTGCCCAAGAGCTCTGTGAGGCAGCTGGTAAAGTGTGAAGTATCAATTGTGTTTCAGGAAATCCTCTGCAGACTAAGTGCCCACTGGCCTCCAGCACTTGCTCTTTTAGGGACTGCTGATCCCTAATTTGAAGGTTATTATGTTAGATGTTTGAGGGAGTGCTGGGGAAAAGTGATTGTATTAGTAGCAAAGGAGAAGGGAATGTGCCTTCTTGGAAGCTGGAAAAATACTGTTTCTTTCTCCATGGCAGAGCAAGGAGAGGGATGCTCTGTTCTTATGCTTCTCCCAACACAGAGACAAATGTTCCCGTTCCTCCTCAGAACTTCAGCAACTCCCATCAGTTCATGAGGACAGACTGTGTCTTGCTGTACTTTGCAGTTTTCTCCAAAAGATGGAAACTTTGTTGGTACAGAGGGAAAAGAGTGTCATCTGCAGTCAGTTAAATGCTACTACATTGCTCACACTTAACAGTATAGCTTAAGACATTAAAAAAAACAAACAACAAAAAAAGTAAAATATTTTTTAAAAGCCCCTTTCTTTATTTGTTCAGTTTCCTGAAAGGTACTAAGTGTTTTCTGGTACTCTAACTCCAGAAGCTGGGTAGGAGCCAGTAAATAACAGGGAACTTGTCAGAGGTGCTATTGTTGTGTAGCCTGTCTCACTGTGGCACAGTAATTTGAACTTCAGATGTCAGAGGCCAGGCAGGAATACAGATCTCCAGCTGTTCCTGATGATTGTTTCCATTGCTTCTATGGGTCAGCAATGGGACTGTTCTCCAGCTGCACTGCTTACACTCATCTGTGTGAATAACAGACTCCTGTGTTCCTTCATACCAAAGGCACAGTGACAGCTGCTAGCAGGTGTACAGCTGTATTTCCAATATATGCTCATCCCAAACCAAATGTTAATACCAGCTGATCGAGTCTAACCTTGAATGACCATCCTAACCACCACTTAGTAGCTAGTCAGCTGCAGGGTGAGACTTTGTCTCACATATAACCAACTTCCGATCTTTGTTGAGTTTCTATTAGTCCCAAAATAAAGTCTCAGTGGAATTGGTACCTTTAAGTTTAGTTCTTGTGCCCTACCTGATGGCACTTGATCCCTTACCGCCACATTACATTCACATCTTGCCCTGGATCAGAACAAATTAAAAATCTGCTCTAAGCAGGGAGAGATTATTTTGCGTCAGTATCACATTCCAACAGTCTGTCCCACCATGTACCAGAGTGTGCTGTACTGGAGTTTCAGGCAGAACTTCCCCTTATCTGCTAATCACACGAAGGCAAGAAACAGACAAAGAATGTTAGTTGGCTTTTATTTTAGCCTGAATTTAAAAAAAACAAACCACCAAACCACAAACCTATGGAAGGAATAGTTTTTCACAATCATAATCTGACTTGCTGTATCACACAACAGGAAGGGTAAGTAATAGCCCAGACAACTGCAGAGAAGTTTTGCACCTTTATGAATTGTGGGGAGGGGGAAGAGGTAATAGTTCCTATGCTTCACGTCCAGTCAGAAGAATATAACTAAATGCATGGCCTGCATTTAGACACTGCAGCACGGCTGTAGTAGGCTCTTAGCCTACAGGCCTTGTTTCCAGCATTTATTAAGTGCTTCTTCTCAAATGCTACAGTCCTGACTGTAGCAACGGGACCAAATCCCTTAGTATCAGGATACTAGACTCTGGTTGGCACTAAAAGATAAATTAGGTAAGAGAGGGGCTGCAGTAGAGCTGGCATAGCCCTTTGAGCTCACTTATACTCAGTGGAAGTACTGGAGAGATAAGGACGGTTCTGATTTCTAAGGTCTGTTGGACAGTAAGTCACCACTGGTTCAACCAGAGCTGTGACACAGACTGGCTTTCAGTCTGAGAGGAAGAGAGAGAAGAAACACAGAAGAACATGGAGACAAACTTGAAGTCTGCTGTGAATGACATGGCATTAGGAGCCAGACCCACATGGAACTTGAATACTATGACATTCAGCTGCTTAGCAAAAGTAAGGCCTAGCCCAGCAGCTCAAGGGGTTTAAGAAAACATGATCTTTTAAACATTTAAAAAAAGTGTACACTTTCATTTTTGTCTAGTATTTGAAATGTTACACGACAGAGTGTGATCTGGTGCCACTCTGGTGTAAGTAGGAGACACTTTGTTAGTGGAGCTCGAGTAGAAACCGTGCCTTAAAGTCTGGGCAGAGAGGCCAGCTTCACCTTCAAGTTTTCAGCAAGCTTGTCCATGAACTCAAAGGTGTTCAGGTAGTCAGAGCGCGTGACACTGAGTGGGGGGGAAACAAAACAAGGCAGACGTTAGTCATAAAGCCACTCAAATGCTCAAAGCAGGGGAATACTATTCAAAGAACTCTAAATCTTGCCTCTAAAACCAAGAGACTTATTTCTTACTCATCAGGCTGATGATTTTTGCCAAAAGGCTCCAGAGAAGAGGTAGCCAGATGGTATTTTGCAGTGAATTAAGTCTCCATCCTAACAAATGGACGGGGCAGGATCTGGCCAGTGTAGCCAGCCTGTCATAAAAGAAATCTTTGCAGTTCCTTTATTTCCCCCCCGGCCCATGCGTTTGGTACAATAGCAGGGACAGAGCAACCTAGACTAAGCTACTTGGGGCAAAGAGCATCTCATGTTCTGTTTGTACCGCGCTGGGTACAGATGACCCTGTTCTGCAACCAGATTCCCACAATTCTTCACCATACTGAAATAACTTTCTAGCAAACGCTGTTCAGAAACACCAAATAAAAAAGCCTTCTCCAAGCACAGCCGATTACTTCATACACTTACTTAGGCAGGCCTTTGATACAGGCAGCAAGGTCCTTCGTCATGAAGCCAGATTCAATGGTCTCAATGCAGACTTCTTCCAAGGCAACTGCAAAGTTCTTGAGGCTAGTGTTGTTGTCCAGTTTAGCTCTGTGAGCTAGTCCTCTTGTCCATGCAAAGATGGAGGCTGAGAGAGAACACTAGATTACTCTGTCCTTCTAGAACACCCTGGACATTGTTCTAAACTGTCATGTGGAACAGTAATTATTTTTTAGTATTAATAACACTGAAAACAGACAGGAAAAAAAAAAGATAGAAAATCTGATATGGGAAAGAGAAGACATCTTCTTCTAGGCATCCTTTTGTGCAATTCTAAAGAAAAGTAAACCCTAGGAAGTACTGTCTCTATCAATCTCTTTGTGCGTGCCACTTTATCTTATTTTGTTCCTACCTAAGTCAGAAAGAATGACCAGTGGTAGAACTCTGCAGCTGCACAGAAAGTTGTCCTTATGACAGAAGGGTGCAGTCGTCTTCCCGATATTACATAACACTCTGGTCCCTGTGCAATTGTAGAGGATTCTTTCCCTCATGTCCCATTCTAGATGCATTTACACTTAAAGTATGTACATGGTTTAGAGTGTGGCTGGGTCTTTTGAAGCATCAGGAAGAGAATTAAAATAAAAAACAATCAATCTAAACCTTAAGGCCATTGTGGCTATAAACCCATTGTTTGCTAAAGAGTGAGAGCATGTCAAGGCTAGGTTGGGTTTAGCTTATTGCTTACACTCACTCTATTCCAGCCTGGTTTTGCTCCAGGCTGCAGCTGTCTCCATGGAAGAAAAAAACCATTATGAACTACCAGTTTCATCACTCAGTGGTGTAATTCTCTGCTAACAGGATGCAAATGTTCTTACTCAAACCTGTTTTTTCATGTGTAGAGCAGGGCAGTGAAAAGCAGCTCACCAATGGGGTTAGTGGAGGTTTCCTGGCCTTTCTGGTGCATGCGATAGTGACGAGTAACTGTGCCATGAGCAGCTTCTGCTTCAACAGTCTTGCCATCAGGGCAGATCAGCACGCTGGTCATCATCCCCAGAGAGCCATAGCCTACCGAAAATACAGTTTAAAATAGTCAGTGTCTCCTTTGGACAGCCCCCTTAAGATTCCCTTAATCCACCCCATTCTACAATCCCCCTACATCCTCCCAGCCTTGATATGAGTACTCCTGAACAGCGGTGCTGCTGCTGCAACTGACTGGCTAGTTCTAGAACGTCAAAATAACAACTTGTCTGAAGAGAAAGTCCTACTGAACCATGAGATATAGAGATATATGAGATATGCAGGCATTCTGCACCATTTCAAGAAAATTAGTATTCTCACCTTACTTGCTGGACAGAATTTTACTGAAAAGGCCCAGTATGAGCACAAAGAATCCTAAAGAAGCAGTGTTGGGCTGCCAATTGCTATCTTCACTGTAGAGTGATAGGGAACAAACCCACTTCATATCAAGAGCATCTGCTCTAGTGAAAGGAACCGTGAGCTGGCAAATCAGACCTTCACATCACTTCTAACTGTAAGTTTCAGAGATCTGTGTCTTTGAAAGCTTCTTTGTTCAATAGTCCAACACACATCCTGTTCTACAGGAGGCAGTTTCCTGACATTACT